TTGCTGGGCTGCCAGGGAACTAGAGATGTCCTGCAGCTGCTCTAGAGATGAGCAGTTCTCTCACATGGCCATGTCATGTGTGTTTTGGGATTGGGTTCAGGCTCCAGGCTCTGAGATCACGGATTCACCTAGGCACATCACTGCCCTTCTGTTTCCATTCTGTTGTAGTGAAAACCACAGACTCTCACAGGGCTGAGGAGACATGAGGCCAACACACTTGGACTACTGTTCTTCTTGGAGGCATACATGAGCTAGTGCAATACAGATACAAGCAGCAGCAAATTGCCCAGGGCACCTTGTGTCTGTTCCTCAAGAAAGAGATGTCTGAAATAACATTACCCATCTTTCCAATGTGAAGCAAATGTGTTTCTCCTAAGATATCTCTGGAAGGTGGGCCTGGAGATTGAACTGTAAGGTTGTATTTGCTGGGATATTAAAAAAAAAAAATCTGTTAAATACCTTTTTTTTAAAAAACAAATAGGGAGGAGGGGAATTGGGTTGCTCAGAAGTGTATGTTTTCACCATACCTATTCTGAGTTCACCTCCTGCATTTGTATCTCTGCTGTTGGTAATCTGATAAACCTGCATAGGAGCTCATCAATTTCTATGTGGCTTTGGTGGCTGGTTGAGTCAAGAAAACAAATAAGTTCTTTAAGCCCCATAACTCTTGGAAAAATGTAATTGTTGCCTGGACGATGTCACCATGACAGAGAGCAGCCAGAGCTCCAGACAGACCTTCTGGCACTTGGACTGCTGGTTGTTTGGAGAGGAGAAACAGTCATAAACAGTCTGTGCAGACTTGGGGCTGGTCTGTGACATGTGTTTGCTTTTGAGAGTATGGAGTCAAGCTCTCAATTTCCTGGCAAAGAGAAAAATCTGAGCTCTAATGGGACAATATAATAAGACTGTCTCTGCATCTGCAATGGATTTGCTTCCTTTATGGCTCAAATTGGCATAAAGTTTATTTTAGTGTGGTAGCATTCCCTAGACAGGTAAAATAATGTGAGCTTTTCTGCCTCCTGTGAGGAATGTTAATTGCTTCCGGTATGGTAAAAATGTGCAGAATCCATGACAAGACTTGGCATGATGAGGAAGGAAACAAAGTACTTGTAAAAAAAAATTAAAAATAACAAGTGCAAAACTATGAGACTGGAAAAGATTAGTATGTTTATTTGCAGTATGGGTTTACTGTACAGGTAAACTGGGAATTAATGGCGAGAAGATGAACGGTGAAACAGAACTGCTGGGCTCTAAGAGAAAGGATATAGGTACTACCAAACAATGTCCTTAAGCATGTATTTGGCATTAACCACCTTATGAAGTTAAGCAAAGTGTTTAAGCATAGGTTTCAATCAGCATGGTGGTGTCATAAATTAATATTCCACTAAGTATTAGCAGGACTCAAAAGAATGTTCCATCAGTAAAAAACTGGGTCAGATTCTAACAAACCATTTGCATGGCTTATATACATGGGGAAAACCTGTCTTTATTCGTTGTAGGGAAGACCAGCTCACTTCGAGAGGAATGTAGTACTGAAGAAGAGCCAAGACAAACCATGCATAAGGATCAGCTGTCTTACTGCTTTTATATTTGCCAGAGAGCCCTGTAGAGAGACAACTGGAAGAGGAAGGGATCAAATACCCAAGGTGAGAGGTAATTTAAAACAAAGAGTTTTGTTACGCCTCAGTATTGTCAGTTTTCTTAAAAATGCCATTCTGCCAATATTTGGTTTCATAATGAAGGATTCATTGCACATTAAAATTCAAGGCTACTGAGAAACTCTGCAATGTGGATTGTCTTTGAATATGGATTTTCTTGTGTCACGCATGATCCATGAGGCACCACAGTCATTACATATTTTCCTGGTATTACTTTTCCACATAGTCATATAGTAATAAGATGCCTTTGCATGAAATTAAGCTGCTTCAACCAAGAAATAAGAGTCAGCAGCATGTTAATAGCCATTTGTCCACAGACAGTTTATTGACCACTATACCATTATAGATTGGGGCAGAAACTGTAATAAATAACGATACTGTATATGCACACATATTTTTATTGTGTCTTATATGCATATACATTTTGAGGTCCTACTCTTGGTAGCCCAGAACAGCTTTACAGATTGTTTGAAAAACACAGTCTTTCCGTCAAATGCATCTTAAGCAGAGTGCAAGATACAGACCAGAAGTGTAATGTGTGAACAAGGTTTTGTGACAGTAGCTTGGAAAGTAAAGTTGTGAGTGAGATCCCCTGGGTTTAGGGAATGGGAAATTTAGTGGCTGTACACTGAAGTTTAACAATTTAGACAAGTCACATCTGTAGTAGTAAAAGTGGGTCCAAAGCATGGGGTTTTGCACTACCGCATTGCAGTTCATGTTTTTTATATCTTAGCATAACAATTAGCACTTTCCTAGACACTGTCTAGGCAGGGTAAAGGGAATAAAGCAGAAAAGAAACTGTTCCCAGCAGACAATAGGCAGGAGATCACTGTTTTGGAGAGAAGAGTTTAGCTGCATGGTGTGGGCCCTGCAGCAGAGTCCTCCTCCCATTTGGGATCGCAGGATAACTCTGGTGGAAAGGGACCTCAAGAGGTCTCTGGTACAGCCCCCTGCTCAAAGCAGGGTCAGCCATGAGGTCAGACCAGGCTGCTTAGAGCTTTATTCAGTCAAGTCTTGAAAACCTCCAAGGATGGAGCCTGCACAGCCTCACCAGGCAACCTGCTGTACTGCCTACTGTCCTTGTAGCAGAAAAGGTTTTCTTTATAACCCTCTGAACAGCAGTCCTGCCCTCAGGCGTATCAGCTGTTCCCTCCAGTTTGGCGTTATATGGAAACTTGATGTGAGTGTGCTCTGTTGCCTCCTTGAAGTCATTGATAAAGATGTTAAGCAGGACAGGTCCCAGGGTAGACCATTAGTTACAGTGCTCTACTCATAATGGGCACCCAGGCAGCATATCACCTGTTAAACCACCAGTTCTTTACCCATCTAGCTGTCTGTCCATCCAGACCGTAACATCCTAATTTGGATAACTGTATGTAGAAAGAGCTTGTATCTACCTTGCTAACTCCAAAGGCAGAAGGAGAGCTTGAAAGAAACGGGAAGAAATTTATTGTAAGGAGGCACTTCAAAGAGTAAGGTCAAAAGGTCAAACAAGGCTCTCAAGTGGAAGAAGCTGTATGAGATATTGTCCAGGATTAGAGTGGATATGGAAGTGTCAAGATAGGCCAGTAGCTTGAACAGAACAAACAGGGCTCCAGATGAAGTGACTGAGTCTGGTAATACAGGGTACAAAATGGTTTTATAATGGATTCATAATCACAAACTATGCACCAGAAGGTTTTCACAAGCCAGGTGACAGGTCTTCCCAGAGGTTTTAGAGCTCCCCCTTCCCAGAAGAACATGAGCACATGGGATTTCTACCCTGGTTAGGGGGAGAAATGCTTCACCTGCCTTTGAAATGCTACCTTTTCTGCATGGAAAGACAGTAGCAGCTGAACTGCATAAGGCATTGTTTTCCAAGTATAAAAAATGGAGTGTTGTCACTGTTGGAAATAGAAGGGCAGTATAGCAATCTGTGTGCAGCTGGGATGGAAATGCAAAACATCAATAACCCCAAACATTTACATTAGGATTTGCATTATTCTGAATGCCAATTTGCAAGGCGGAGACAAAGCTGTTCCCAGTTGTCAGGACGACGTCTGAGGGAAGCAGAACTGTCAGCAACAAAAGAGGTCAGAGAAGATTTCTGTTTTCTCTCTAAAAATACATGCAATATTAGAGGAGTAAGAGAGATTGGAAGAACTGCTTAAAAGTTAGTGAGTTTCCCTCAGAGGGAAGAGCCTGGGCAGGTATGTAGATAAACCCCCAGGCAGAGAACATCCATAGCTAGTGTAGGCTGGAAAGGGGGCAGAAGAATGTTCAAAGACTTTGTTACAGAGTTCCTGTCATTTAAAATATTTTAAAATAATAATAAAACCATTTCTTTTCCTCCTGGCTGCAAGGAGACTGAAGGATGCAAAGCAAGGCATTGCTGTTGTATTTGGCCAGTAACCAGCCAGCCAAGTAAGACCAATGGGCAAGTAAACAGTTTGTATGCATCTCAATGGGAAGTTTACTTCAAAGTAGAGTCTGGAAACCAGGATTCAAGCACAGATTTTCCCCCCCTATTTTCTTCCCTCTCTCTTTTTTTTTTTTTCTTTTTTTAAGTGCAGACCGGTTATTTTTTGTGTCAGTGAGAATAGCAGGCTTAATAGCCCTGGAGCATAAAATCATGAGTTCTGTTACATAGAATGGACAGGAGCAATATGAGCTTTCTCTATACAGTCTGCTACTGTGTTTCCGTCTCAATTTAGAGAAACCACACCTGGGGACACAGGGAAGCTTAGGATGTTTAGCTCATTTTTCCATAGACTCTGTGAGGTTGCCAGCACCAGTTGTCATACTGTTTTGAGGTGAGGCCATCTTTGATCAGTAGCTCATTTTGACTTTGGTCTTCAAACAGCCTTGAGAGAGGGAGCAAGTTGTATGCACTACAAATACAAAAATCCTAAGTTGTCAGCCAGAGTATTTTTTCTGAGGTAACTGGCAGTAAGTTCTCTTGTGTAAGCCATTGTGGCACAACTGCGTAGCACGGAGATACTCCTACTGCTGTAAATGTGCTGGATTTCTAGTGGGAGCTATATCACCACCTTTGAAATGTCATTCCACTTTGAAGACTTCTGTCATGGTTTCCAGCATAGCTAGGTTGCTGCTGGTACCCAGACCTGTTCACTTAGGGCGAGATACTGTGTTGAACTGTTCAGCTTAACTGTGACCTAATTCTCTTCCCTTAGCCATGGACCGCAAGAATCCTGTTACCAGACTAGAAATAACTTGCTTAAACCCATAAAACACAGTTAACTTTTTCTCAGACAAAGTTTTTGATGGGCCAAATGGCCAAAGACATTTATAGGGACTGGTGGGGAGAAGAGGCTAACAGGTTTGGTTTCTGCCTGAACTCACCAGCATGAATATGGGCACCTCCGGCTATAGCGACAGCAGTAAAATTGCCATTCACGGTCAAGCACAGATGGAAAGTACTGACTCTGGAAACCAGCCACCAGCCCATTGTTCGAGCAGGTTTGATACCTAAGAAAGAGGAGAAAGGAGAGAACACATAAGGAAAACATGATATTAGCTTCCCTGATAGTTTCAAGCATTAAGAATTTTGATTCAGGGTGGAAGCTAAGCGTTTGGCTTTGTATTGAGAAGCACTGTATGCACTTGCTGTGTATTGAGTAACCATTTTGTGTAAGAAAGTAGCAGTAGTCAACTAATAATGTCTTAACATTTATGTTGCACTTAAAACTATTTAAACTTTTTAAGTATTTAATCATTCCAGTATGCTAATCAGGCAAGAAGATTGTTCTGGTGTTGACACTCTCAACTGTTTACAAATCATGAGACTGACTTCAAAATAGCCCATATTAATTGACTTTTATCTTTGACTGTAGGTATTTAAGCATTTTGGGTTCACTGGAGTAATTTTTCAACTGCTTCTTTACAAAAAATAAGCCTTAGAAATTCTTTTGTAAAAGAAGTTCAGCAATTTATTTTATCTCATTTCTTTCTCAATTACCTGTCTCCAGGAGAAGGCACTCAGTTCAAAACATGATAGGCTTGTGATGAAATCATGGTTTGGTAACAATCACATGAGGAAAACTGAGACTCAGATGTTATGAAATTGTAAGACTCTCATAAATTTTATGACTGGATTTTCAAAAGAAAAATCTGCTGCTTCACGCTTTCGGTGTACTTGGAAATTCAGTCATACATGTAAATCACTGCCTTCGAGCAGAATAGATGTGGTCTCTAAGCATGCAAATATATGTTTCTCTTTCTGCACACCCTCCAGGCATCTGGACACTGATACCCAAAGTAATTCAAGTGATAATCAGTTTGAATAGCTTGCTTCTTGGAGACTAAAGGCAAGGAGAGCATGGAAACAGACAACTCATTAACTCAGCTGTTGAGTGTTCATTCTCTCAAGCACCCTCCTTGCCTCATTGTTTCCCTATTGGAGAAAATTTTAGGAATTTAGTTTCTTCCCTTTCCTGTTCTTTCTTTCTGCTTCATCAAGGAAAACTGGCAGCCTAGAGCTGTAGCAAACCTTCCTTGTGATACCATAAAATCAAATACATTGATATATCCAAAAGACCCTTTCAGAAGTAACTTTCAGAAGTAACAAACACCAAAAATTTCCCCTAGTTTCATTCAATGACCTCACAGTTTATTTTAATGAGCCTGGAGTTCCCAGAAGGGAAAACACATCATCTAGCAGAGTTCTGTGTTTGGAAAGTCATTCACTTGTGCATACAGGTGTTAGTGCTCACAAAGCGTGAAGCTCAAGTGTTTGTATGCAAAAGCTGAAAAACTGATGAATTTTGACCAGTGCAGGGATTAATTCCTCTGCTTAACTTTCAGCTTCCTCCTTTGAAGCAGGGGTCTCTTCAATATGTCCCTTCCATTGTGTTCTGTTGTTCAGACAAGTTTATTTACGTTTGTTTGTATTCCCTCATCTCCCACGTTGCTGGGGCCACACATACTTGCTGTGCTTTGTGAGACTCTTCCGAGGACCTTCAGAGTTAAGCAATGATGGGGACTTTGAGTTGCTATGGTATCACACCAAGTAAGGCAGTTTGGCTCACACTCAGAGGATTTCAGCAGG